TTACCCTACTAACAACAAAATTATAGGAAACCAAGACATAAGCTGTGTAAATACACAAATTTCACCCTTTGATTAATCATATTTTACTTTCTTCTGAGAAGGGCCAAGGAATAGGAAGGGTAGTTCTCAAAGGAAAGATTTTTACCCTGTGAAAAAATGAAGAACACTCTCACTATTTTACTGTGCTTGTGTGGAATCTCTGCTTCAGGTCTCCAAAAATAAAGTCTATTTCCATCATTAAGAGCCACAGAAAATGAATTTCTTACCTCCCATCCTGTCTGCGGTACTCTTGTTGTTGCTCTATTCTGATCATTGGCTTCACCATGCCCCGTTCAGCTGTGCTGGATGCCGATGATGTTCTGTCACCATCCAGTCTGTTGGTGCTCTAATTTGAACACAACAGATGTTTAATATGCACACATCAGATCAGCCAAGACTTACACTCATCACTATAAAAAAGGTTTATTAATTCAGGAAAGGGATGAGGAATTGAAAGGAGGGAGTGCAAAACAGAATGCAGCAGGTGTTCACTCTACAATACAAGAGAACACTGGTCATTCAAAATATCACAACAGGCAAAGGCAGCTACTTGGTAATGTTCTGTCAGGAATTTTAAAGCCAACAACAGTAAACATAAATGTCCTAATATAGAGATTCCACAGTCCCTTGCTTAAAACATCTTTAATGCAGATTAAAAGAAAAGCTAACGGTAAGGCTGCCTTTCTACAAATGTTAGTACAGAAGTTAAATAAGCAATGCAAAGTTAAAACCAAGTTTTAAACAACCTGATTAAGGAACCTTCCCTTCAACTGCTCAGTGTTTATTATACTTTCGGCTTGCGTTGCTTTTTCACTAACTGTTCAATAACCAGTCTCCCATACTAATAACCTGATTTTCCTTTTTAAAAAGGGCTGGCAGAGGGGGAATATTAGTCTTCACTATATATCAGCAACAGCAGAAAGTGGCACAAGTATTTCTTCCTTTTTGCCAGACCTCTTTAGTTTGCATCAAGGGCATCTTGCAGAAGACTTTACAATTTATTCTCTCTCAATTTATTTCATATTCTTATATCACTAAAGAAAAAGCCAAGTACTGTACTGTGCTGAGTACAATCACTGTATAACCCTTACTGTATATACTGAAAAATATCATCAGTCTATTTATGCCCCTAGGAGCCCAAGAGTACTTCTCACTGTACTACAAAAATACCTTTAATATTATATTGGTATTTTTCTTTTTAAACAGGCATTTTCATGAAGAACACTTAGGGGTGAAAGACCTGCTCTGGATTAAGGATTTCAATATTAAGTAATAACACTTCAGAAACATTTTCATCTGAAGATCTCAAAGCACTTTATAAAAGGTTAGCTAGTCAAATTTATTGTTAAAAACATACCTCACACAGACTAACTCCTTCAAATTAAAATACGCTCAAATTTTCCTCACTCAAAATATGAAGATTGCTGTGAGTACCTCTAATATTCTAAAAATATTTAGAATACACTTAATGTACTAACTGCAATGCTTTCATGCCTCAGTGATTTTACAGTATTGCTTTAGCTTAAGTCAGTATTTGGTGCATCTCAGTTCATTTCACTCCTCGCATTGTAAGAGAAAAGCATCCATGCAAGACACATACAAGTGTTACCACTGAAACGGTTACAGAAGAGGAGGTAGGAAAGAGACAATAGATTTTTTGTGATAACATGGTCATATGTCACAGACAAAAATTACTAACAGACTTGAAATATTTAACACTATTAGAGCTCTATAAATGTCACTGCTGCTGAACCAATGACACTAACTTTTCTTAGATTCTAAAATTGATAATAGTAATAAAACATGAAAGGAAATGCATTTTCAAGAGGATTACTACTTTTCAGACTGCTGAAATTACTCAGCTCATCTCACATTCTCTCTCAAGCATGTAATAATACCAGCGAGAAAAGCATTAACAGTTGTATCATTTTATTCTACTTCCTGGCTTCAGGAAAATTTAACTCCTAATGCAGTCTATTAACAGAACTGCATCACAGAAATGCATTGGAACAAAAAGCTTACCATCTCATAAAATGTTAATAACTATGTTTACAAAAGACAGCATGTTTGTTTAATGAGTAGTTGGGCACAACCATTCTATTTAAGTCCGTTGCCATTAAAGCTTAAAAGCCCATTTAGAGTTTTAAAACTTGGCCAGTCATTCAAGTTTCACATAAAGATCTACACATTAAATATCTGATAGCAATCTCCTTGGGCTAAATATGGAATTATTCTTTATCATGTACTCTAAACAGCAAAATATGCCCTTTGCCAATTAATCCATTTCTTCTAAAACTTGTGCTAATAGTCTAAACCTCTAAGCAGTTCAACTGTTTCCAGAAAGTACAGCTGTTTCCTAAAAATAATTTTCGTCCCACTTATAGAATGAATGTAGGCATGGTACATTATTGTGTGCAATGTGGTGTATATACATATGTACATACGTGTCTCTCCATTATGTTATTGTTCATACATGCATGGACATATATACTGTTTACACTGACTTACCTCACTCCATTATATATTTTGTTTGTAGGTAGATAGATAGCAATAATATATAATGGAATATTAATAAGAAAATAATAATATAAACAATACTATATAGCAAAGCAAAACATATAACAAAACACTCTCAACACACATACATACACATTTTGTAGCTGGGGAAAAATTTGAAAAACAGCTGCTCTTTTCTGGAAATACTTAAACTGCTTAAAGGTTTAAAATATTAATCATACGGTTTTCATTTTTGACCTAACAAAGTTATAAATCAAACTTGACTCAATTTATTCCACAGTTTCCCAGTTTGATACCTTGCTTGCTGGTAACGCTGTTCCACTGTGAACATCTCCCTCCAGATCAAAGGTTGTTTCCTGAACAACTCTAGAATTAAGACAAGAAAATGTCTAATAACATTTCAGAAGAGGTCAATTACAAGTATCCAGTGTAAACAAACACTGATTGCAACGCAAATTCACTACAACTAAAATTTCTCTGTTAAACCCCTTTTATCCTAAAAATCTGCATGTCAATTGCTATGCTGATAGCATTGTTTTTTTTTATACATGAAGCAATATAATATTGATACAGACCATCTTCTTTTAAATATATCAAAGGATCAAAATGGGTAATTAAAAAGTAAAGTGAAAATCTTTTGCAAAATTTTGTGTTTATTGCAGAAGTTTTAGTGTAAGGTTTTGGTCCAGTCTTCAGTAAGAAATGTCCTTTCACCATATCATTTAAGTCAGCTGGTGCAGCAAAATATTTGCCAAAGCAAATAATCTTCAAAACGATTTTATCCAGTTCAGATTGTACTATTAATAGAGATATTGCAAGAGAGGTGACAGTCCCAAAGAACTGTTGTTATACACCAATACTTTCACAGGTCCAGGAGGAGCCTAGACGGTCCTTGAAGCTTCCTGTCTGCTTCTCAGATTGGGGAATCTGGGGCAGGGGAGCAGGCTGTGGGTCTTTGTCTCACTACTCCCCTTCCTCCCAAACCAGTTCAGGAGAGGAAGGGAAGCAGCAGACACTGCTGCTCCTTACCTCTTCCCCATACCAGGAACTGCCAGGTTTGGGGAATGGACTGGGGGGCTTTGCCTTGCTGTTCCCTCCACTGCACTCCCAGAGACCAGGAGCAAAAAGGAAGGCTGATCCTGGTCTGGGAAAGGTGCATAGAGTCTTTCCCACTGCTCCACTCCCCCCAGGGACTAGAAGGAATGAAACAGTGACTGGTCCCCATGCCTTTCCCAGACTGGGGTCACCCCAGCCTCTTAAAGGTGCAGAAAAGCAGGAGAGGGGGACTGACTGCAGGCTGAACACCTGAATGCTCCCTTTCTCCCAGTGAGCAGCATAGTAGCCTCTGAAATGCACTGATCTTCAACCAGTAGAAACAAACACCTACTTGTAGGTATAGCTGTCTCTGGACCTTGCTGCTTTATATATATGAGCCTATTATTTAACAAGCATGATTCTATTAGCTAACAGATGTACATACTGTACGCTTTGTGATCTTGGAAAAATTAAATACAAGGTGTTTGTGTTACATCAAGAGCCAAGTTCACCACAACTGATTTTGTTTTTAAAAAAAAAGCACAAAAAGGACAAAAAGCTTGTTTATCAGTTGCCTCTAGATCAACGGCTGAGAAGAATTAAAACTTAATTCATAAAAGAACGTAACAGAAAACAACCTCCCATAATATTCTCCACCTTCTTAAATTCAGGGTTTAAATGTTTTAAGGGGTAGCTTGAATTTTTAACAAAAATCCAGAAAAAGGTGATGATAGAAAAAAAATATACATCTAAAAGAATTATCCATTTGTTTACATCATCTCTCATTTTCTGTGCTCAACAATTTTCCTATAAACCATTTCACCATGGGTCATTTCTTACATAACCAGTTTCAATGACTACATTTCTACCCAGGTCGTCATACCCTAAATTTTTCCCCTGGTCCCTTAAGATTGGGCACAACAGCCAATACTTTATATTTTCCAAGCTGCACAGTCTTGGTCAAACTCATGTGGGCCTTGAGTATTGTCATAACTATGGACCTATCTAATTTGCAGTGGTTGCACCCCAATTCCACGGCAGCGATTTTGCAGGTGGAGCCCCTCCCCTCCCACACCTGATTGGCCAAAGGGCCCCAGTGGTTCTGACCCTCACCACTGACTGGCAGCAGGGACTGCCTGTCATGTGGCCCTGCCCCTCACTGTTGATTGGTAAGGGCTGTCTGTCATAGTCCCACCCCTCACTGCCAAACGGAGAGGGGCAGGGCTGCATGAAAGGCAGCGCTAGCAGCTAATCAGCAGTGAGGGGCAGGGAAGGCAGCCATATTGCTCACAGCCCTTCCAACCGGGTTGCCACAGCATGCTAAGTACTGCTAGCTCCTTCTGGGGAGGAGCATTTTCTTTTCTGTAAGTTTTATTTTCCCCTCCCATGGATTTCACAGGCATTGCTTGGATTTGGTAACTCTTTAGTCATAACCATTGGACAGGAAGATCTAACACCATGTAATATTCACTTATTTATCTATATTATGCTCTACACATGATATCTGATCATGCAAAGAATCAATAGGTAAGAAAGATCTGGACTACCAGACACAAGACAGAATAACTGTAATGTAATGTAATTGGAAAGCAAGGACACAACAGTAAAGTGGCAGGTTAGGACCCTATTCTGTGTCAAATGGAGTTTCACTGGCATTTAAATTTCTACAAGAGAATCCAAATGTTTCAGTATTCCTATTACACACCCTGTACAGAGGTGTGTATAGGGTGTGTAATAGGAAATAGTACATTATAAAATATGCCAGACAACTACGGTACTTTTCTCCTATTTTTCCCCATTTTAATTAAATCTTTCAAATGAAACTCTGGATTTTAATATTTAAGCATATTATAACAGAATAAGAAAACTAACCTTATATAAATGAGACTCGTTAATTTTAGTTAATACATAATACTATTTGTGAAATTGATAAGACTGCCTTGCAATGCATTAAAATTCCTCTTTTTTAGTGTATCTGAGCCACAGGAGAATATACTTGTCTATTAAATAATGAAATAATGCAAGTCCTAAAGAGAGCACAAGGTGGAGCTACAGTATTAGTTAGCATTATAAATTTAACTTAAACGCTTAAGCTCAAAAAATACTTGCTCACCCAATAAACCCATATGCAAACAAACACAAGGTATCTGAGTCTTTGTTTTTCACGACTCAGTTTTCTCCCCCCAAAATAAAATCACTACACTTACCCAGTTTTGTGTCTTGGACCTTTGACCATGAGACCAGCATCCAAAGGCCTTTTAGGAATAATATGATCCTGACTGGGATCCACAAATTTAAATACATGAGAAGACCCAAACTGAACTTTCATGCCACTCTGCAGCATAGTGGTCTCCGAAATACGCTGACCTTCCACATAAGTCTCAGCATCAATGCTTCTTGGGGTAACAGTAACAACTCCATCCATATTGGTGAGGTCACAATGGTGTGGCTGAATTCCTGGACCGAACAACTGTAAATAGAAATATTTAATAGTTCAAAAATGACCTAACTCTAATCTGCTGCAGAAAACAAAACCGCATGAACCACACTTCACCCTAAGCTATAGCACTATGGTTTTATTCTTGTGTCTGAATTTAACAGAAACAGACATTATTACATTTGATCAATAATTTAAAACTTCACTTTAGCATACTGTGATAGGGGGCCATCTCAGAGCCGGGTCTCATCACTGTCCTGCACACCTGTCTAGGGCGGCCTTTCCTGCCCCATCTGCCACACCTTGATGTAATGATACCAGATGTAGCCATGCAGGAGGCTGCCCATTTTATGCCCTGATGCCTAGGGCATTATACATGGCTCTGAATCTTCCCCTTACCATGGTCCATTCCTCACAGATGGCATCCAATTCTTGTATTACTCCCCTGGCCCCTTAATTGGGCTGAACTCTGCCTCTGACCCAACTTGGCTTCAGATGTACCTGGGCCTTCTGCCCCCTCACTAGGGCCTCAACTTCAGCTACTCCAGTTAGCCCACATGGCCCTATAAGGCCCTACTCTAGACAGCTGCTGGTCACTACTCCATCCCCTCACTGGGGACCACTATCTTGCACCCTCAGTGGGGCCAATACTCCACCCTCTCACTGGGGCCACAGGGCCATATGCCCCACAGGCCTCAGGTGTCTGTAGACGTGCCTGGACTCCAATCACAGCCTATGGCCACTCAGGCCTCTGGTGTCTGCCGACATACCTGGACCCTTCCCCAGGCTCCACTCAATGGGCCTAGGCCCCCATGCTTTGTCAGGGTGCACTCCTCTAGCCTTCCCTCTCCACAGGGTACCAACAAGGCAGCAGGGACTGAGGCTTTCTGGCACCCCATACTCAGCCTTCACTAGGGAGGCACAGGTGTGGCAGTTCCTGGAAGCTGCCCTGCCCTGCCACAAGCAGCCCCACCCCACCATCCTCCTGAGCAGGATGTAGTTTTAGGTCATTCCCCAGGACCAGGAACCTCCTCCATCCCCACAGTTCCTGCCCTTTACCTCCAAGTGTTCTGGGAGCAGCAGCTCCAGCTAGGTGGGGTTCTCCCCCGGGCTGCTTAAAGCAAATCCTGGCTCTACTGCTCAGGGCCTGCTCTTATTCCCTAGCAGCTACACCCTCCTTCCAATCAGGTGGCCTCCTACTGGCCATGCAACTCTCCTGACTGGCAGTGTAGTCACCTGCAGGCTGCTCTGCTGCCTGCTCTGGCCCTTAAAGTGGCAGGTACCAAAGGTGCCCTGCCACACACCCTCTCTAATGAAGGTAAATGTGATTTCTGCAGCACATTTTAGGAAATATTTTCATTTTAAACACATTTTGCACCTTATTATGGTGACCAAAATGTTTTTCTTTAGATGTTGCCAAAGTATCATTTTATTCATTACAGAAAAACCTCAAACCTGCAAACAAGTCAAATTAGTGAAGAAAGATAATTCAAGATAGTCTGCTCTTATGCCACAGGTTCCACGTTGACTTGGGGCAAGATTCTAAGCCTCAGTTCCCCATGCAAAATTGGGAACAACAGCATACTTACCTCATAAAGGTGCCATGAAGACAACTGCATTAAAGAATACCACAATTCTTTGGGTAAAGGCACCTACTGACCACCTCAATTTACAGTTTAATTGACTGGTTTTCTTGCATACAGACTGGCCTCTGGCTCCATCTAGAAAGAGCACAGACCATCTGCAGATGCTCTCTCAGCCTGGAAAAGGGTACTTTTACCCAAAAGCTTGCAAAGAAGAATTTTTCCACCTATCTGAGTTGGTCTAATAAAAAGATTTCAGATTTACCCAATATAACCTTGTCTGTCTATGTCCTTGGACCAACACAGCCACAACCTACAGCCTTTAAAGAATACCAAGCTCTGATACCAAAGGTTGTAATTAAATTGTTCTTGACTGGATTTTTGATTTAAAAAAAAAAACCAGGCCTTCAATTATTTTGAGGCAAAATAGGAAACAAACTAAAACACTACGACTGAAAGGAAGTCATACTGATGTCTACATTTAGACTCATCAGCCCTCTAGCTTCAAAGGGTAAATCAGATTGGTCAGGAAGAAGCAAGTGGGGTAACAAGTGGATTTTTAATACATTTTGTATTAACACTTAATAATGTGAAAGTCCGAAACAGGCTAAAGTTGAATAATTCAATGGTTAAGATCACTAAAGTACTAGGCAAATTCCCACGGTCTCACACATGACTGGCTGAAATTGATCAGTTCTTTCACTTGAGACTCTCTCCTTACCTGGATAGAACTGTCATCAAATTTTTCTGTTCCAACTTCAGTAACACTTAATTGTAGACTAT